CACGTGGCCCATTGAGGCCATAGGCCTAGGAAGGCCATAGGCCATGTGATAGATCGCGGGCGCATGATGTACATCATTCCATGTGACATATCTCAACCCCTCGACTATTTACTGCTAGAAATGTCTGTAAAACGTAAGAAAGATTGGGAAAACTTTCGCGACAAAATCTCAAAAAAGCGAACTGATGGAAAGAAGAATCGCGGAGGGTCATCAGGCAATTTAACCGTGCAAAGGCTGTCAGCTAACGTCGAAGGTAAATGTCAGAAGTACTCGAGGATCGGGCCATTAACTCTAGTTCCCTTGGACCCAGAGAAAGAAGTTAATCTGCCAAACATCAAAGCAGCTTGTCAAGCACATTTCAAGAAAAATCTCGAGTGCGATGTCTTAGCTGGAGAGAGGGACCCTCATTTACCGATGTCGGCCAGATCGAGAACTGGAAGGTATTACATGTCCGGTTTATTGATAATGCTAGCCAGCACACTGTCATTGACAGCGGTCCTTCAAGTACCCCACTTAACGTTAACAAGGAAACTCTGGTGCGTGAACTCAGCGGAAGGGTCAAAACCAAACCAGAAAATGGTATAATCGCCCCTTCAGTTGTGGCATCCGTGTCATTGAGCCAAATGCTAAAGGTTGGAAAAGTTATCACTCCGGAAGTTGATATTGTTACCCTCCAGCTGGAAGAGTTTTCCGTAACAGATATGTGGAGAGAGCCCTTTGAAGCCAAGTTTACACTACAAAGAAAGCCATTTTCAGAAGGGGGTGTACGTGAAGCCTTTCTGGCCAAAGCGATCAGTGGTATGCCAAAAGGAAAGGACGTCGTTAAAAAGTATCGTAGCGATAAACGTCAAGACATTTTGGAACTTTTTGGAATACTTGAAAATCATACCAGAAAAATCGTCCAAATGAATTCTTTAGCACGCAATTTCGCGCAAAACTTAGATTTGGAAAGGCCTACTCTTGAATATGGAGAAACCTTTAAGTATGTGAAGGTCTATTTCACTTCACTGGACGATGAATTTGTTACAGTGGAGGACTTTATTGATGGAAATTTCCAAAAGTACATAAACAACACTGGAGAAATTTGTCTTAAGGACGATGAGGACATAACACTTAAAGCAGAAGCCTTCGTCCATTATACCTACGTTAGGTCTGATTTCCATTTGATGGTCACTGACATTCAAGGTGTTGGTTACACTCTCTGTGATCCCGAAATAGCCAGTTCAGTCCTTCAAGATAAGGACAGCTCAATTTATTTTTGCTCAGGAAACCTATCACAAGAAGCCATCAACACCTTTTTTAATGGGCATAACTGCAACAAATTTTGCAATCTTTTAAAGTTGCCATCGCTTTGCAAATCAGTTGCAAAGTGACTGTTTGATACTGGATTATCAATTTTTCTCTCTTTCTCAAAACAAGAAAACAATCCACCAACAAAAGAATGCCTTATGCTTGAGAGCAACAGCAATGATGTCCACCAATATATACATACATACAAAAATACTTTGGTGGTTACAGACTGCTTTTTGATTTTATAAGATACATAGTTGTAACACTTCAGACTCATTGACTTGGTCATACTCTGTTTACATCAAAGTGAGATTTCAGATAGATGTAAGCATTATATGCTTGAGAAGGCTCAATATCTTCTGTGTTTGGAATGTGCCTTTCACACTCCACACGAAAAGCACTCTCTAAGTAGTCATCAGTGCCAGTGAGTACATTTGACACCTCCGCCACTTCTTCCAGATTATCTGCTGTAACTGTAAGGCCACATTTTTCAGAACCATACTCCTCTGGGCAATGGTAGATATGATCTGGAACTCCAGTAGGGAGTTCCTTTTTCTTTTGCTTTCGAATTCGATGAGCGTTCCATACAGAAGTACGAAAGACATCAAGCTCCTTCTGTATGACAGGTATGTAGATGAAAGCAAGCAACATTCTGCAAGAAAACATTTAAATAAATATTAATATACTGACATGCTGGTGTCAAATATTGCCTCCTAATTTTTCAGGTGATACCCTTAGCCTACAGACAATCCTTCAAGGATCCCTTAATTTGTCTCCCTAACTGGGACAGACTTGGTCCTGTTCTTTCTCATTGGGAGTCTAGGTCTCTCTTGGCCAAATGGCACAGGAAGCCCAATTAGGAGATTTTTGCGAGAGATAGCCTAACCTATTCGTAGTGTACTTCTCAGTTATTATCCGTAAACTAGAGTTCCTTACATAGCACAATGAAATTGTGAAAAAAAGATGTCAATTCAGTGAAAATACCTTTCCATAAGTAACAAGGCTTAAAATTACATCCATCCTAATTGCTTCTTTCCATTTTTTTCCAGTAGAATTTTKTCTGGATATATTTTAATAGTGTTGTTAGAAATGGGTAGGCTTGCATATATATTTACCGYTCTGTTTCATTACATGGGTCATAATCTCCATCTTCTACCAATGAGGATAGTTGCTTCTTGAAGAATTTCTCCATTCTTTCCAATAGTTCCCTCCACCACCTTTCTATTTTGTTTTGTGTGGAAGGACCATAAAGAACGCTATCAGTTGCATCTTCCAGATCTCCATGCTTATTACGGAGAAAACAGTGCATAGTGGCCATGATGCCAGTTTCTGTTCCCTTGTCTATGCGGATATGTTGTGGCAACACTAAGGAAGAAAAACAGAAAATGTTACTGCTATTTGCGTTTAAGCTTGGACACCCAATTTTTTTCTCGTTCCGTATGATTTAACGTTAGGTTTGCATGGACTCAAACGTCGCGTTTCTATGGGGCCATCACGACGTTTCTAAGTGTGACCCATCTCACTATACATCTAGTGATAAATATCCATACAGATGGTTATGCATAACAAAATACATCAATATATATCAAGTTTACAATATATCATATTACTCATACATTACTCACATTACTCACCTCTGCTTTCAWACAGATAGTCTAAGTAAAATCTTCCTATAATGGAGGGATCATTGTTTGTATTCCAAATCCGCAAAAACTGTATCCTTGCACTGTATGTGTCTTGTGCCCCATATATACATGGCGAAAACATTGATTTCTGGTAGCCACACATCTTATCATGACCATCAAGTGACATTGTGAAATCTGGACCCTACATATTTTCGAAAATAATGGAATCAATTAAATCCAAAAGAACTTGTGTGCACAAAACTAATTCATGCATTAATTCTATACTCATTTTATTCAATAATTCCTGTACTTGGTCAACTTACTAGAGACCAACAGATGACTTGCACAAACAGGTCATGTGACCCCATCTCCTTAATTTAAGCGGGCCTGTAAAAATATAAATTGAAAATTTTATAAGGATATTATTATATTTGATTTATAATTATATTTGATGCTAATTCTGTTAAAGTCAATATAATGAGCTAATACTCGGCCTTCATACTAATGTTGGTGCTCTTTCAAATTCTGTTGTTCAGTTTGGGTCACGTGACTCTGAGAGAGCTATGTTTATGTTCTGAGATACAAGATAGGCATGGTAGTCAAGAAACGAACAAGCCATTAGGCAGCTTATTAAAGTACTCACATTCGATAGAAAAGCTTTCGTTCTAGGTGGTCTTTTCGGTTTTCCAACGCCTCCTCGCTCCTCAAGTCCTTGTGGGTTCACCTCGACCATTACATCATACACAAGACTTCTTGGCACGTTGAGTCCATGTACTTCTCGGATCTTCTTATGAAGGGCTCTGTATCCCAATAATTGCCCTGGACCCTCCATTTCTTTTTCAACTGCTGCCTTTACAGTCTCTATGTCTATGTTATAGTCTACGAATTTTATCTCAAAGTATTGCAGTCGCCGAGTCAATGTTCGTATACTCCACGCATATTGGGGATATCGTACTAAAAGCAGGTCGACTATTTCACGCTTCTTAAAATTCTGTCTCATGTACTTGGTAAGATCATCCTTGAGATCATTATCCTCCGTCCACTCATCGTTTCTTATTCTGGATGCCATTTTTGCTGGGGTATCTGTGCTGTGGTATGAAATGTCTTTTTTGTGCTAAAAGGTTACCGCCGACCAATATTATCATGTGCCAGTTGTCAATTAACCCCTCCAATTAACATCAACATGTTGCGTGACAAGGATTTACAGGAATTATTGCTATGGTCGTAGCCTAGTTTTATCATAAGCTGCACCTTTTTTGATTCAGCGATTATTATCCCCGATTAGTGAGGGTGATTCGAATGGAGAATTGGAATCTAATGGTAAAAACCACAGGTATCCTATATATTGTGTCTCATAAAGGAGTTTTTACAAACTTGAAAATAAACATAATATAAGACTTAGTAAAACTTAGTGGAAAAATATTCTTTTTTTTATACCTAAACTAGAACGATTGGATCCATTGGATCCATTGGAATGATATACAGTAGCAAGACGTTTCACTAGTGTTGGGTTATCTGGTTTGGGCTACCTGTGTATTATAGTCGAACTMCTGGAGRCCCCCAAAGGGTATCCCAATGGATCGAAWKGAATTGTCTCCTTTTGGGAAATCAGTAGATAAAAAATTTCAAGGATGTGAATGGAATTCGAGCAAAATGTATGCTTCGAAATTATGGCACAATGCATTGACCTAACCTCTATTCTCATCCTCCAACCTCTATCCCCCCCTCCACATGGCCCTATCCCTACCTCCCTCCCAAGAGTGGCATCACATGATCTGAAATGGGCACAACATACAATAAAGATAAAGAGGTCTGTTGGTATGGATTCATTATCATTTAATTATTAACGTTAGATGTTGAGTAGCATCAATTTGGGTCATTGGTTTTCGATAAATTTATAAACTGAACTTCTCTTATGCCTTATTTTGTAAATACTTGGATTCCTGAACATAGSATCRGWACATTTTAAAATTTGACAACTGGYAAAGCAGCCAGTCTGGAACAGAACAGTACTGAATATCGAGATACATTTGGTGTAACGAAAACTAAAAAAGGCAAATAGAAATCACAAAAATGACATTA